CACACAGACAGACAGACACACACAACCACACACAGACACACACGTGGACAGACACACACACACACACACAAGCACAAATGCACAGGGACTGACACACACACACAGACACACACACACGGACAGACACACACACATACAGACACACATACACAGACAGACACACACACAGACAGACACACACACACACAGACACACTCAGACATATCGACACTCACACATACAGAGATAGACGCACACAGATAAACTTTAATGCTTTAATACTGCCATCGCCACTCCATGACCGTCCTCTGTGAGACGACTAAAGCCGCAGCTCGTTGTTCTGCACCTGTTTCGCCGCTCACACAGACAGACAGGAAACCGGGCGCTGGCGGTCACTAACCACAGGGACGTGCGGAGCCGCGCTCACGGCCTCTTGTTGCTCACGTACACACCTAGAGCCACACACACACACAGAGAGAGAGGATACACACGTACAGACGATCCATATACACAGAGGCATAGACAGACAGACAGACAGACAGAGATACACACAGGTAATCAACACAACCAACACAACGCGCTGTTTCGGCTCTGGTCCTCAGTCAGACTCGTTAACCTGTCGCTGACTGGAAGGCAGAGACACTCAGACAGACAGACAGACAGACAGACAGACAGACAGAGAGAGAGAGACTGAGAGAGACAGAGAGAGACAGAGATACACACAGGTAATCAGACAGAGAGAGAGAGAGATACAGAGAGAGCGAGAGAGAGCGACACAGAGTAAAAATCCCGTCCCCCTGAGCCACCAAACCGCGTTGCTTTGCCTCCGTTTGCGTCACCTGAACTCGGGCGGTGGGAGCGCGGCCTCAGCGCCGCAGACGGGACTCGTATCAGCGGAGGAAGCGGCGGCGTTTCCGCAAACCACACCGTTTCCGCTCCGGTTCGCAGCGATAACTCAGTGACTGGCGACGGACTGGAATACAGAAGGAAGACACCTCTCTCTCTCTCTTCGTGTAATCTGCGGAACACGTGGATAGAGAGAGAGAGAGAGGTACAGATACGAACGCAAACACACACACACACACACACAGGCAGAGCACGTGCGGACACTGCCCCTTCCTGTGCACAGACACACACACACACACATGGACAGACACACAGACACACACACACACACACATGGACAGACACACAGACATACACACGCGGACAGACACACAAACACACACACACACGGACAGACACACACAGACACACACGGACACACACAGGCAGACACACAACACGCAAGCACAAATACACATGCACTGACACACACACACAGAAACACACACACACACACAGAGACACACACAGACACTGATCTCCTGGTGGGACCCAGACACAGACCGGAGATGAAGCCACTGAAGGCAGTTGAGGAGCATCTTCTCCTCCGAGGACATTCACCCGTCTCTCTCTCCCTCTCCCTCTCTTTCCCTCTCACTCTCTCTCCCTCTCACTTTCTCTCTCGGGGGCTGGGACCACTCTCTCTCTCTCCAATTCTCCCCAAACACCTCTCCCCCCACCCACCCCCTCTCTCGCACCCTCTCCCCCTCTGTCTCTTTCCTTCTCGTTCCTCTCGCACCCAAATCTGACGAAAAATCTGGAGATTTCACAATTCCGTCACCCATTCGAAAACGCGCGTCGAGCGTTAAAGTGGGAAGCTGCTCGTCAGCGTGTGGGTGGGTGGGTTTCTGATGGTAATAATCCCTTCGCCACGCGTGTGTGTGTGTCTGTGGGTCGGTATCTCCCTCTGTTTGCAGCGTAGGTACACGTATCTCTCTCCCTCTCTCTCTGACTCGCTTTGTCTGTGTCCGTCTGCGCATCTCTGTCTGCGTGTGTTTCTGTATCTCTCTCTCCGCATCGGTATCAGTGTCTCTCGTCGTGTCTCGGAGTGTTTCTCTCTCTCTATCACTGTGTGTGTGGGGGTTTGTCTCTGTGTGGCTCTCTGTGTGTCTGTATGTATCTATCTCCGCGCGTGTGTGTGCGCGTGTGTGAGTGTGTGCGTGGACTCTCAATGCCCGTGTCTGTGTCTCTCTCTCTTTCTGAGTGTGTGTTTCTCTCGCGGTCGGTGTGTGTGTGTCTCTATCTTCCTGTCTGTATCTCTGTCTCATCTCTCTCTCTGTCTGTCTGTGTGTATCTCTCTCTCTCTCTCTGACTCTCTCACTCTTTCTCTGTATCTCTCACTCTCTCTCTGTCCGTCCGCGTGCATCTCTGTGTTCCAGTCAGTGACCGGTTAATGAGTCTCACTGAGGACCAGAGTGGAAACGGTGTGTTTGTGCTGTTTCTTTGCGAATACATATTTAATCCGCAGTTCTGGGTGTGAAACCTATAAGACCATCAAAGCGAACGAGAGAGTAGATAGTGGGAGATTGTGTCCCCCGGTTGGAGAAACTAAAACCAGGGTTCACAGCCTTAAAATCAGAGGGCAACTCTTTCGCACTGAGCTGCGGAAGAACTTCTTCGTTTTATTGCAATTAATATACAACAACAACAAGATTCCATTTATAGATCGCCTTTCAGGTCAGGAGGACGTCCCGAGGCGCTGGACAGGAGGGTCAGGACCCGAGCAGTGGGGAAATGGTCAGGGTGAGGGGAGGGAAGGAAGGGAGCGAGGAGCGAGTAAATGGTCAGAGGAGAGGAGGGAGGCAGCGAGGAAGGGGGAGGTGGTCAGGATGAGGGGATGGAAGGAAAAGAGTGAGGATGGGGGAGATGGTCAGGATGAAGGGAGGGAAGGGAGGGAGCGAGGAGGGGGGAAATGGTCAGGGTGAGGGGAGGGAAGGGAGGGGGCGAGGAGGGGGGAAAATGGTCAGCGTGAGGGGAGCGAAGGGAGGGGGCAAGGAGGGGGGGAAATGGTCAGGGTGCGGGGAGGGAGCGAGGAGCGGGGGAAATGGTCAGGGTGAGTGGAGGGAAGGGAGGGAGCGAGGATGGGGGAGATGGTCAGGGTGAGGGGAGGGAAGGGAGGGAGCGAGGATGGGGGAAATGGTCAGGGTGAGGAGAGGGAAGGGAGGGAGCGAGGAGGGTATAGAGAGTCGAGAATGGAGCTGAAGGCTGAAGGTCGAAGAGAAAGCTCTTGAGACCGGCCCAAAGGAGGAAAGGGAGGAAGCGGCGAAGGCACTGGGGATGAAGTTCCAGAGCCTCAGGGCTGAGAGGCTGAAGGCCACCGATGGTCGGGCGGTTGGGGCGGGGGATGTGGAGCATAACGGAGCCAGAGGGACGGAATGTACGGGCAGGTAGGTAGCGGCATAGTAGGTCGGAGAGATAGGAGGGAGCGAGTCCGTGAATGGCCTTGTAGGTAAGGATGAGGATCTTGAATTGGATCCTCTGGGGGATGGGGAGCAGTGGAGGCGAGCGAGGGCGAGGGTGGGAGTGATGTGGGTGCGGTGTCTGGTGCGGGACAGTACACGAGCTGCAGATTTCTGAATGACCGGCAGTGTGGAGGGAGGGCCGGGAAGGCCGATGAGGAGAGAGTTCCCATAGTCCAGCCTTGAGGTGATAAAGGCGTGGACCAGAGTTTCAGCCGCGTGGGATATGACTCCCGCACAATCCGTCCACTCGACGATGGCCTCCCCTCGTGTTCGGATCTCACGAGGCTTCCCAATGTTGCTCGTTGCTGAGTCACTGTTAGCCGTTTCGTCGACCAATTGCAGAGTCACTTTACTCGGCAGTATACTTTGTAAAGCGATTTGAGATGTGTCGAAGATGTGGTGAGACGCTACATCAGCTGCACATATAACATTGCTCATGTTATTTCAAACCATCTCCGGATCCCTTTCGTTGGAAACCTTCTTCCAAACCAGTCGTCCTCCATAGCTCTTCTTACCTTCGAAAATGTCCAATAAAACAAAACTCTGTGCAATTGGTGAATATTGTTAAACTGTAATACTCCTTGAAATTGACATTGCACATTGATCGCTTCCTTGGTGTGTCTCAGAGCACTTCCCAGGTGTGCTTGGTACCTCTGGTTGTTGCAATAAATTTTCTTTCCCGTCAGTAACTAATAATATATCGCTTTTCCACTCAATATATACACCTGGAATAGAAATGATAGGAACGAGGTAATTGCATTGCCCTTCCGCAACGCTGACAGCCACACGGAGCAGCAACATCAGTGCGTTGCGTTGCTTCAGGTAGTTTTCCTCGCAGTCAGTTGGAATTGGTTTGTTCATCGATCGACAAGTCTCATTCACTCGGGTGATAATCCCCTCAAGAAAGCGGTAATGATAATCGGGTCACTCACTCCACGACTGTTTGTGGAACAAATTGCCGCCGCCTTTCGCCCGCAAAATATACATTGCAATCGTTCTGCGGTAATTGTCTGTCAAGCGTGTTGAGACCCCTTGAAGGCCCCGATGAGGCGCTATTTTCAAATACAAGTATTATTATTACTGTTGTTATTATTGCAGATGGGATGGTTGGGTTGACAGAGCCTTCCTGTCCTGAAGCCCCAGTGCACCGCTGCGTTTCGGCACCGGTCTGATGCGGCCCGGGGCGGCGAGGGGATGGGGCGAGTCGTGCGGGTTGTTGGGAACAGGGATATTTGGACGTGGGGGCAAAACGTCGGCTGCGCTTTCAAGTCGCTGAGCCCTGAAACTCTGGTACACACTTCCCTAATCCCTTGGCCTTGAGCTTTGCTTCCCCATCTTCAGGTCGAGCCTCTTCAACCGCACCTATCGTCACCTCCTCTCTCTCCGGCTCGGCTTCAGGTCCTCCACCCCCAACCACCCCCCTACTTTCCTCCCCACGTGAGGGTCGCTGTAGAAATGCGTCGTTCATCCCCAAGGGAAGCTTGACGTTTGAAACGTGAACGGTTAAAGCGAACGTAATACGCAATATATATTATCAGGTCAAATATAAGAAATGTAATATATATTATCAGGTCAAATATAAGAAATATAATACATATTAGAGAGTCTAACGTAAGAAATATAACATGAAATATTGTCAAGCCTAATATAATAGTGATGACGTGTAATATTCTAAATTATAATGTAATATATATCATCAGTTTTGCAGATTGAAGACCCACGAGGTTTGCGTGAGTTCACCGCCAACAGCTGTAAAGGCGACGACACCGCCGGCAACACCTGGAAGAGAGGGAAGACGCGGGAGTGCAATGGTGAACACGGCTCAGATAAAAAAAGGCTTCCTGAAAGACCTGAGAAATCAAAGCACAGTTTTAGGGAGTACTGCCATGTTTTTCGTCCTGGCTGTCGTGGAAGAATTATTGGAGATGACGTTTTCGTGCCCGTGTGAACCAAACTTGAACAAGTTATACGTGGCACTGTTCTTCTGTTTACCTTCCCTCACCTTTGCCTTCATTTCTGCCATTGCGCACGAATGTCCGCGGAATTGCTCGGCAGATGGGAAGAAAGCGTGGAGGTTTGTTGTGAGCGTACTCGCCCCTCCGGTTATGTGGCTGGTGTTGCTTTTGCTGGACGGCGATTACCTGATTTGTGCCAAGTCGCCAGGAACCGTCAGGATCCACAACGTTACCAGGAAGCAGGGTGCGAATCCGTGCGAGGCAAAGGCATCCGATGGAGGAGCGGTGGACAACGCGGACAGAAAAGTCGTCGCCGCGCTCTTACAATCGCAGGTAGGTCGGACCTCACCGCCCGTTCGCCACCGGACAGACGGCTGCTGATTTCCGCGAAACGCATGCCCAACGACAACCGCAAATGCACCGAGCGGATGGGTAACTCACTAAACCACGCAGGTTGAACGTGTTTGACAAATCACGCAGAGGGCAGACGGTGAGGCATATTTTTGCGGAGGAGGTTGACGCGGTCCCCGGCACGCACTGCCCCCACACCCCCACCCAAAAAAAATGTGGCGGAAAAATATTCAACGACTGGTTTCCAAAGGAAACTGGTTTAAGCACTTGAAAATGAAATAGTTGCAGGTCTGTGGGGGTGCGAGGGGATAGCGTGGCTACTTGGGGTAAGAGCGGGGGAGTGGGACTAGTTTGGGGCAAGAGCGTGCGTGGGACACTTTCGATTAGTAGCGGCGGGGGGTTGGGGGGTGGGAATGGTTAGGATAAGAGTTGGGGAGAGCTATTGGTTTGCGTAACGGATGGGCACCGCCGACGAGTTGAGGCACGTGCGTGGGAATGGGGCTAATTGGGGCAAGAGCGGGGGAGTGGGGCCAATTGGGGTAAGAGCGGGGGAGTGGGGCCAATTGGCATAAGAATGGAGGGGACCTGCTTTAACGTCTGTTCCAGTGAACAGTGTTAATTACCGGACTTTGCCTTTCGTATAGCGCCTTATCACGTATTCGGGACAACTCGAAGCACTTCGCCTACTGTAAAGAGTAGTGGCTGTAGATTTTATGAGCGGAAGGCGGCGGCCAATTGCTTACAGTCGTGTCCCGTAACCAATCGACGTCTGAGTGAGTGTTTCTCTTCAACGGAGTATGAGCCCCAGAGTGCGATTCTCCCATCGAGAAACAAGCGGGTCCCACGCCCGGTAAACAGGTGTGTGAAGTAAGGAAAAAAAACTGCCCAGGGTGTCACTCTGCCCAGGAATCAGCTTTGATTTGATGGGCCCTCTCTCGCTTGGGACGCGAGTGCTCTAACCTCTGTCCTTCAGAACACCATAATTGTGATAGTAATCCGTGAATTTGGGACGGCCCATTTCATATTCCGAGTAGCTCTCAAATCGTAGGCACTGGTAATAACCGGCAGTTATTTTTTCGTTAATTTAAGCTGATGGGCAAAGTGGAGGACAAGGAGCCTTGTATCTATGCAGACGCCGCATGTCCTACAGGTTGTGGTGGACGTGTATGAATCGATGTTAACCTTCAAGAGATCTGATAGATCCCTGCAGCGAACCACCCTACAACCCTTCACACGTATTGTTTAAGGCCAACACCTCCCCCCCCAACCCCACCCACGCACACAGACCCTTATCCTTAACCCCACTTATCCTTAAATAGCCCCTTGCAGCTTGAATGCAATGTCCTCTTGCTCTATTGCCCAAGCTCTACATCGGGGTCTCGCTGGCGCCCGGAGGCAGTGCCAAGAAGAGCGAGACGTTGATGGATGTAAAGTTGAAAGGACGTGCATCTTGTGGGCAACCACCGCCGCTGAAGTTGTCTCCAGCAGCATCGCCACAGAGGCATGAAATTAAGCTACACGTCTGATTTGGTAGATTTTTTGCGGCGAGGCAAGGAGAGGAACCGCCTTACTTTTCCAATTCAACAAGAACAACAACAACTTGGATTTATACAGCGCGGGGCAGTGGAGTTTCTCTAATCGGTGCTTATTTCTTTCCTCCGCAGCTCAGTGGTGGTATCATACTCCTCATCGTCTTGTTTATAGTGATGGTGGTGAAATGCTACAGAGAATGTTGTTCAGGTACAGTAAACCGGACGTGAAGATCGCAGCAGTACAGTGGCATGTATTAAAATAATAATAATAAAATAAAAAATAATACACTTCGAATTTGATGAAGTGCTTTTCACAGATCTCTGTCCTTCTCAAAGCGCTTCACGCAACATATTGTAAAGTTAAATCTCTGTGTACGTGTGCGAAATGAGGCACCCGATCGCACGCAGCCGTGTCCCGCAAACGGTCATGAATGGAGTGACAAAATTATCGTATTATTTTATCTTGAGGGATTATTGTCAGTCATGGGGAGTAAGCGAACAAGGTTTCACCATGTCGGGGAAGTTGGCTGGCCACGCGCTCCAACATGGCGCGCGGTCCTACACTTCCCGTGAAACAATTCTGGGACATCTTGAGATGCTGTTGGCCAACCTACGGACTGTTATACAGCTCTGTTTCATTGCAAAATCATGTCAATTGTAGATTCAGATGGAGGGACTTCTGAGATGGAAATGGAAGGCGGTTTAATGAACAGAGGCAACCATCCTAACCCTGACAACCCATAACCTCATCCTGATCAACCCAGCAACAGCTCAACATCCCCAACAAACCGCCAGAAACACGAAGGGTTCAAGTTTACCAACCGAGCCAAGTGAAGCTTTATCAGCAACCACATAACAATGGGGTGTGTGGTAGTAATGGGGGTACAAGAGTGTGGCATTAGTGGGGCATAGTATTAATGGCGTATGTGGGGTGTGGTGTTATGAGTTCTCGTGGCTGTGGTATTGGTGGGGTGTGTGGGGCGTGGTATTAATGGGTTGTCTTATCAATGGGGTGTGGGGGGTGTGGTATGAATGGGTGTCTTAGTAATGGGGTGTGTTGGGTGTGGAATGGGGCATGGTGGGCGTGCAATGGGGAATGGTGGGCGTAGCATTAATATGGGATGTGTGGGGGTGTGATATTGCGTGGGGTGTGGTATTAATGGGGTACTTTGGTTTGGTATTAGTGGCTGTGGTTAGCGTGTTAATAATGAGGCAAGGGTGTGCAGTATTAATGGGGGAGTAGTATTAGTGGGGCGTGGAGTGTGGTATTAACGGGGTAGGGTGGGGGGGGGCGTAGTGTGTGTGTGACATTAATGGGGTAGTGCAGTGCGGCATTAACGCGGTATGGGGTTGCGATCCCACCGCATAACTGATACGGTGACGGTGCGCATAACCCGTGTCTTCGGAAAAAGTATTTTAATGAGTGGTTAAGAAACGCTTACGGTGAGTAATTAGACTCCGCGTTCATCAACACTGAAAAAAGTATGGTTTAACCAGAAAAATCTCAGGGTGACCTCTGACCGCGGTCATTGCAGACGTTTGTCCGACACAAATTCACCTTTTAATCCATGGCGCGTCGAGCGTGAGATAGTCAAAGAGGTTTTTCTCGCACAGAAAATTACTGTCCGGTCGTCGAAGCTTTCTGTAACAAGAGTTCGCTCGGAATAAAAACTCCGCAGGCGGTTATTATTTTTCTCTCTTTCTCTCTGGTCAGATAATCGTTGCCTTGTCGCGAGGAAGAACTGATTTGTTTTGTTCCCGTCCTTCCCGCGGAAAAGATTATGCCATTTCTTGCCAATGCTTAACTGTACATACTCAACCGGTGCAGAGGATGTACAGCCGGACTGTAGCTCCTGTGGTTAGAGCACTCGCTTTGCAAGCGAGAGACCTGAGTTCAATTCCAGGCAGAGGGCGAAACCTTGGGCAAGTTTCCTTACTCCACACAGAGCCTAATAATAATTCCTCCAAAACCAAAAACAATAATAAATTGGTCATTTTCAATCTACGACTATTTGTGGGACATTGCTGTGCGCAATTGGCTGCCGCGTTCGCCCACAAATATACAGTCAATTCACTTTACAGTGTGTTCTGTGAAGCACTTTGGGACGTCCTTCCAACGTGAAAAGTGCTATATCAAATGCAAGGATTATTATTATTATTATTACTTTGCTCAGCCTCGTACAGAGCACATAGGACTCAAGGTCCTCATCCTCACCTACAAGGCCATTCACGGCCTCGCCCCCTCCTACTTCTCCGACCTACTATCCCACTACATACCCACCAGTACCCTCCGTTCCTCTGGCTCCAGTCTGCTCCACATCCCCCGCCCCAACCGCCCTACCATTGGTGGCCTTCAGCCTCTCAGCCCCGAGGCTCTGGAACTCCATTCCCAGTGCCTTCGCCGCTTCCTCTCTTTCCTCCTTCAATGCCGTTCTCAAGACTTTTCTCTTTGACAGCACCTTCAGCTCTCCTCTGGACTCTCTACCCCCTCCTCGCTCCCTCCCTTCCCTCCCCTCACCCTGACCATCTCCCCCCTCCTCGCTCCCTCCCTTCCCTCCACTCACGCTGACCATTTTCCCCCCAACGCTCTCTCCCTTCCCTCCCCTCACCCTGACTATCTCACCCCCTCCTCACTCCCACCATTCCCTCCCCTCACCCTGACCATTTCCCCCCTCCACGCTCCCTCCCTTCCCTCCCCCTGACCATTTCCCCCCTCCTCGCACCCTCCCTTCCCTCCCCTCATCCTGACCATTTCCCCCCTCCTCGCTCCCTCCCTTCCCTCCCCTCACCCTGACCATTTCCCCCTCCTCGCTCCCTCCCTTCCCTCCCCTCACCCTGACCATTTCCCAATTGGGCGCAATCGGCTGCCGGGTTTTGCCCACAGACGTGCCATCAATTGAGATTCGCAGCACGTTCCGTGAAGCGGTTTGAGTCGTCCAGAAGATGTAATCGGGCGCTGTATCAAACGCAAGGCTTATTATTAAATGTTTTATAAACAAGAGGCGTGCGAATGTGTGTGTGTGCGCGTGTACGTGTGTGGAGTAAGAAAACCTGCCTGAAGTTGTGCCCCTTCTCCAGGGGATCGATTGCGCGGTGAGTGCTCTAATGGTTAAGCGTTCAGCTTCGATTTCACGCGCAAACTCCTCTCGCTCGCTTTCAAATGACTTTATTCCCTCGCACCCCCCAACCCTACCTCTCCGACCTGCTTATTGCCCACCCCACCACCCGCTCTGCCTCCATCTGCCTGACTCCCCCCTCCAATTATTCCCTCGTGCCCTCCACTCTCCAATCGATAGCCCTCAGTCACTACGCCCCCCACCCCCTAACTCTCTGCCTCAATCCCTCCGCCTCGCCCAGTCCCTCCCCAACTTCAGATCCTTCCCCTTTTGACGGTGTTGATGGTCACCGCCTTCCCACCCCCTTCCACCCTGGCTCGGCGTCAGACTCCGCCACCATCAAAAGGTCCGGGAACCCTATCGCAAGTAACGGGCACCGCGTCACCCCAAGTTGTCGGGTTCGCTGCAGATGCGAAGTGACCCGTTGCTGAGGTTCAAAATTAACGTTAACCGTGCCCTGACCTTACCTTGGTGCCGGGCTCTGTCCAGTCGCTGATGGGGGGGTGAATTGCCAACTCCTGGCTTCTCTCTCTCTCTTTTCCTCTCTCTCTCACTCTCTCAGCTGTGGATTTTCACTTGCTGGTTCCGCCTCGGTCCCAGTGACCTACAAAGACTCTGTCTGGCCGTCTGGCTTCAGGTGTCACCACTTCGTCTCTGTTGCTGCTGAGCTCCAGTTGCTCACCGTGTCCCTGAAACATCTGATTGGTTCGGAAGAAGGAAACCGTTCCGCTTAACGCTCATCGTTACAGAAACCCACATCCTGCCTTCGCAGTCGAAAGCCGGGTTTGTGCTGGACGCCTTAGCCCACCCACCCTTCTGGTTAGACAACAGAAGTGAACCCAACTCACACTCCGTGGTCCCCTGAGCCTGGACTCTGGCCGATCTGTGCCGGATATGCTCCGGAATAGGAAGCGGGATGCACCCCTCTGGAGAGAGAGCGAGAGAGAGTGCACATCCCATTCCAACAGCCTATCTCTGGGATTGGCATTGATGTAGGAGGGACGCGAGGAATTCGCGGCCTGGTTTGGATATTCGTAAGAATAGTGATGGCTTCCCGTGTTGTCGGACGACCGGCTGATCGCGGCGATGGGATGGGTTGCGTGTCAGAAACGCTCGTGCGGGGGGTCGAGGGTGTGTGGAGGGTGGGTGGGGTGGGGGTGGAGGTTTGCCGGGCCAGGGGTTTGGGCAGAGAGACGTCGGTGGGAGTGTGTTGCCGGCAGCTGGAAATTATTCTCAGGTTGGATTTGGCCGTGTGACGCCATACGAACACCCCCCACACCCCCTTACATAAACTAGCAGCTGGTTATCAGGAGCGGGTGGTTTAATCCTCATCCTCGTCTACGAGGCCACTCCCGGCCTCGCTCCCTCCTACCTCTCTGACCTACTATCCCCCCACGTACCCGTCCGTACCCTCCATTCCTCTGGCTCCGGTCTGCTCCACATCTCCCGCCCCAACTGCCCGACCATCAGTGGCCTTCAGCCTCTCAGCCCCGAGGCTCTGGAACTCCATCCCCAGTGCCTTCGCCGCTTCCTCCCTTTCCTCCTTCAAGGCCGGTCTCAAGAGCTTTCTCTTTGACCTTCAGCCTTCAGCTCCGCTCTCGACTCTCTACCCCCTCCTCGCTCCCTCCCTCCCTCCCCTCACCCTGACCATTTCTCCCTTCCTCGCTCCCTCCCTTCCCTCCCCTCACCCTGACCTCTCCCTACACACACATACAGACAGACACACACACAGAGACAGACACACACAGACAGACACACACACACAGACAGACACACCCAAACATACAGACACACACACATACACAGACAGACATATCGACACTCACACGTACAGAGATAGACGCGCACAGATAAACTCTGATGCTTTAGTACCGCCATCGCCGCTCCATGACCGGCCTCAGTGAGAGGGCGAAGGGTCTTCAGTCGACGACCTAAAGCCGCGGCTCGTTGTTCCGTACCCGTCTCACCGTTCGCACAGACAGGAAACCGGGCACTGGTGGTCACTGACCACAGGGCCGCGCGGAGCTGTGCTCGTGTCGCTCTCCGCGGCCGACAGTCGCAGTGGGTCGGCAAAGCGCAACAGCGACACGGAAACCAGACACAGGTTAAACAAATGGTAAAAACACAACCGCAGCTCGAACCGAGGCGGTCCGCGTCACCGGCAATCGGACGGCCGAGAGTAAAGCGTTGGCGTAAATCCTGTGCGTTTGAGCCACGAAACCACGTCGTCTCGTGTTCGTTGGTGTCACCGGAATTAGAGGGTTACAATCCCGGCCCCAGAGCTGCAGAAAAGGTATTTATCAGCAGAGAAACCGGTGTTCACACCAACACAACGCGCTGTTTCGGCTCTGGTCCTCAGTCAGACTCATTAACCTGTCGCTGACTGGAAGGCAGAGAGACTCAGACAGACAGACAGACAGACAGACAGACAGACAGACAGACAGACAGACAGACAGACAGAAGACAGACAGACAGACAACAGACAGACAGAGACAGTGAGAGACAGACAGACAGACAGACAACAGACAGACAGAAACAGACAGAAACAGACAGACAGACAGACAGACAGACAGACAGACAGACAGACAGACAGACAGACAGACAGACAGACAGACAGACAGAAACAGACAGAAACAGACAGAAACAGACAGACAACAGACAGACAGACAGACAGACAGACAGACAGACAGACAGACAGACAGACAGACAGACAGACAGACAGACAGACAGACAGACAGACAGACAGACAGACAGAGAGACAGAGAGAGACAGAGGTACACACAGGTAATCAGACAGAGAGAGAGAGATACAGCGAGAGAGAGAGAGAGAGATACAGAGAGAAATACACAAACAAATA